AAAAGGAGCAAGGGTTGATAAGAACAGAAAAACTCTCACTGCTTGCAGATAATATGATTCTCCAAACACAAAAGCCCCAAGAAGCCAGACATGATGACCACACACTGCTTTTCAGTTGGTTAAGAATGGCCTCATCCATCAATTACACTGGTAAAGCTGACTTCCCATCCTGGAATAAAATAAATCGGTACCTCTACCTCACACGATATACAAAATCAATTCCAGATAATTAAAGACTTAAATGTAAAGAGGAGAATATTAAACTTTTATAAGTACATTTAGGAGAATGTTTTTACCATTTCAGGAAAAGGAAGAAAAAATTTTAAACAACTCATGACAGAACATGAGCTATAAAAAAATCAGTACTTTAATGTAAAATTAAGAACATCTGTTTATCATCTGACACCATCAAGGAAAAAAAAAGCCACTAAAAAGAAGATATGTATATAACTGACAAAGGATTAATCCAGAGTATACAAACAACTCTTAAGTTAAAAAAAAAAGACTACCATACAGTGAAAAAGTATCTGGATAACAGAAACATAAATGGTCAGCAAATCTATGAAAATGAGCTTAACTTCATTGTAATTATAGAAATGCAAATTAAAACCAAAATTACATTTTAATTTAAAAATAAAAATGCAAATTAAAAAGTAAAATACAATTTTATATCCACCAGATTTGCACAAATTAAAATGCTGAACAATAACAAATGTTGGCAAAGACGTAGATCAACAGATACAAATATATTGTTGGGGGGAAGTTGTAGATGTAGGAATGCTGTCTGATGTCATTACATAAAAGTTTAAGAAATGAAAAAGGTAAAACAATTTTACATGTTGCTTAGAAGCACATACATATTTATTCAAAGGATTAAAAAAGCACATATAATTCAGAACACGGGCCACTTATTCAGAGGGAGCTTAAGAGAGAGAAGATAATGTCATCAGGGTGAGTTATCAGGTAGCTTTAATTGTACTTTGAATCTTTAAATCTTAAGATAAGTGGTGGCTACACAGAGATTCTTTACACTTTTCTCCATACCATTTATACGTCTAATATAATTCATGATCAAAAATGTATTGCACCTCAAAAATGGTTAAAAGAAAACCATTTTAATAAAGAATGACAGGAAATTCAAGAATAAGAGAAGTAAAACTAATTATCAATAAAGCAAAGATATTTGGGGTTTTGGAGGTACTACCCTCACTTTTTGTGGTTGGAATTAAGAATCTGACAAAAACATTTGCAAATATATTAAACAAGCTTCAAAAATTATACACATGCAACGTAACAGTAAATCATTGAGAAAATGTCTACAATTCAAACATTGCATCATTTTACGTATCTTCCCCCTCCCTAAATTTTGTGATTGCTCCACAAAGAATCTGTTAAAAGGAATAAAAAATGCCTACAGAAAGTACGCTTCTTAAACTATAAATGAGCTTTTCACTTTCATTTAATTACAAATACTATTTTTAAGCATCTTGAAAATTAAGATAAAATTTCACTGGATTTTCACCAGTGTTAAAAGTGGTGCATTGAGGATAATGTCATTTACTCATTTCTCCATGAAGCACATTTTAAGTACTTTGTCCATGGCTGACAGAAACAAAGAAGTATTACTAAGCATGCAAACATAGCTATACTGAATAATTAGAACATTTTTTCCATGACAACACTTTATTATCTACTTACCTGTGGCAAAAACAGTCACGGTTCCCCTGAACTGGAGTCATGAGCATCTAGAAGGATGTATATGTAGCAGTGCAAGACTCTTCTTATTAACCCCTTCTTTCAATTAATGTATTACACCCCTTCAAGGTTGTCAAGTTAAAGGAATGCTCTCTTATACCTGGTAATTTGGAATCTCTGATGTATTAAATATCCTCCACGTTTTTTGCCACCTTCTTTGGTTTCTTTACCAGAAACCTATATCTCAAACATATGAATTCAAAAATTCATTTTTTATATTTCCAGTTTAATGTGGCATCAGGCTAAGAATAACCAATATTGCTCTTTGTAACTTCCCAAAACCACTTGTGAAAACGCCAAAAAAAAAAATTGCAAAACAAAAGAATCTCACGTACATCAAAAACTGCAAAAGCAATCAAATGCCAAGCATATGAGTAAATAAAACTTATGAGGCCGATGAGGCAGACTGTGGGGAAATACAAGGGACTAAATGGTAGGTACGTCCTGGGTTTTCTGTATAAAGAGAGAATTCACAACAAAGGTAGGAAGATAATTTGTGCCTTATTCATCACACGTATCCTGATAGGATGCACCCCAAAGAGAAACTCAAGGACAGCACCAAATGAAAAAAAAAAAAAGAAAAACTTTTGTTGGAAGAGGCAATCCACTCACTATGTGCTCTTAGCTTCCTGTTAACTGTTCCTGGATGTGCCAAGAATGAAAGGCCCAGTTGCTCCATTTCTCAGGGATGTGTTTTCAGAGACCAACCAGGAGGGATAAGACAAGCTCTCCCTCTAGGACAAAGAGCAGGCTTGCTTACTCCCTGCTATAAAAGAGATGGATTCACTAATCTCAGTGTTCCTCAGCTGCGGGTGTAGCATCTCTCCTGGCTAAATCATATCACTTCTGTGGGACTTGGGGGCGAGCCCAGGAATATCATGTCTTCTGCTAGCATCCATGGAAGAGTAGCAGCCTAGCTCATTAGCTCGTAAGTAGGGTAAAATAAAATCCCAGACTCAACAACTTTATCCCACTTGGCCTATAATGTTCCGGCCAGGAAGTAGGGGCAGACTGCAAGAGACACGATATAACTTTAGAAGTATTTGCAAACAAGTCACTCTCTCCAGGAAGAAAAGACTGAGGAAAAACCTACAAGTTAATGATACTTCTCCAGGTATTAGAGGGCATCAAGGATCTGTAGTAGAAAAGTAGCAATGCTTAAGAGGAATAACGTATTTCATGAAAGACTCCGGGGAACAGGGAATTAGACTGGAAACTTCACATTCCCCTATAGATCAGAGAAGTGAATCTGATCTCTGCATGTGGCAAAGAAAGCAAAGTCAGGGTAATCGATTGACATGTGTTGACAAAGGCTGAGTTTGGACAAAATTTGCTTTATTAAAGGTATTAAGCATAAAAATGGAAACATCAAATGAAAGTAGGAGGAAAGACTGCCTCTAAGATCCAAAATAGCATTTCAGAAAACTGCCTATATCTTCAGAATAAAACAAACAAATAGATGTGGCTTCAATCAATCAGAAACAGAAATTCATAGGAAAGAACAACCTGAAATAAACAGTATTTCAAAAAATGGGACAAAAATAATGCCTTTCAATCCTTTTAAAAATATAAATAAATCAAACATACAACTAAAAGATGCAGGAAATTTTCCTGAATTGTGTATGAGATGGCTAAGTATCGATATAATAAAATAATTTTTCAAGTTGTAAGCAAAGCAAATAAAAAAAGAGATCTAAACCCATCTGTATGCTGGAAATATATATATTTATCTTTATATATATATATATATGTTTTTAGCTAAAAGAATGAAGAAAAAAATTATCCCATACTCAACCAAGAGAAACAAAAAATAATTACAACAAAAAAAGGAGGTGGGGGGCTTCCCTAGTGGCACAGTGGTTGAAAGTCCGCCTGCCGATGCAGGGGACATGGGTTCGTGCCCCGGTCCAGGAGGATCCCACATGCCGCGGAGCGGCGGGGCCCGTGAGCCATCGCCGCTGGGCCTGCGCGTCCGGAGACTGTGCTCCGCAACGGGAGAGGCCACAACAGTGAGAGGCCCGCGTACCGCAAAAAATAAATAAATAAAACGGGGGGGACTCCAAAAATTTAAAATTCTGGCTACTAGAGAAGTAAACTTTTATAAATTAAAAAGTAATTTTATAAACTAAAAGATAAACTTGTGTAACATAAATATGACATATAGCTATCAAAAGGCCCAGAAAAGATACAGGTTAAAAAAACAAAAAACAAAAAACCTGTTCATAGACGGAAAAGAAACAGAGGAAGCAGAAGAAAGAGCAAGGAAGTTTGAAAAACGGAACACACAGAATATAATGGCAGGAACAAAACCAACCATTGCCATTATAAAAACAGAAGCAATAGAATAAGCCATGCATTAAATGACACATTATCAACTTATTAACGGTCTGTGGCAGTTGGGGGAGACTACTACCACATTAAAAGAACATTTGCATTCTAATTTCAGAATAATTGAGGTGTAAAGAACGAAAAGAAATCTTAGAACCAAGGTAATGCTGATATGCATTATATATGAAACATACAACAAAAACAAAGGAAGAGAGACTAGTAAGAAGAAACAAAAATTAGAAAATAGTCAAAAGATAGATCAGGAAGATAAACACTAAATTAGGTCTCTGGTCCCAATTCTAAATTCCCTGCTAAAAAGCATGTGGTTTTCTCAGGATGGGACATGGGTTCACCCTGGTCCAATTAACAAGGTACAAACTTGGCTTCCAGAGCCAGGCCTCAGTGGGGGCCTGTGTTGAAGGTCATCATGAGCTGGGCAAAACTGCAGTGGAGGTCAAAGATATGTCACGTTCTTTTCTTTCTCACTGTCTTTGTTCCTTTATATTTTCAGATTTGTTAGATGTAATTCTCTAATTTCAATGTTCTGCCAGAATGAAGGTCATGCCTGACAATTCGTTCATATACGTTTCAGTTCTAACATAGTACAAAGCACAGAGTAACTAATGAATAAATACATCCTTAACTAGATTCTTTTTCCTCCCCTAAACAGAATGCTTACAAAATAGTAAAACAGATAACACACACACATACACCCACATTCACATACACCCACATTCACATACACACATTTTAAACTCTGATTTGTACAGTATATAATTCAATCGTATTGAATTACTTTCTCAACCTATTTCCTTAATTAATAAATTCCACATATTGTTTCTGAAATCCGAAATGACCACACAAATTCAGTTATATATTTTTAAATGTTGGACTTATATGTGTGAACATATACTTACAGGCAAACTGGAGTTTAGCTTCTCTGCTGACAATTGTTCCAACTGAATTTGTTGCAAAACATTGATAACTTCCTGTATCCCAATTTCTGTTGGGGTTAATAACCACAAGATTTCCTCCGTTCAACTTATAACGATACTCCATACTCAGATTAATATCGCTTCCATTCAGCTGCCATCTGTAAAACAAATGTCCAGGATTTTCCCCTTAGTATATTTAAACTTTTTAAAAAATCTGCATTATATCATCTACTTTAAACATCAGCTCTCTTATAAATGAAAGGCAACAAATATATCATTCAATTATTACATAACTGAAAAATCAAACATGCCTAAGTTCTGTTATCAGAAACAAAAGGTTAAATTACAGTAGAAAGCACAAGAGAGTAGCATCTAAAAGCGAACGATTTTTCAAGATTTTCTGAAGAGGTGAGAATAGTTTGTTCACTAGGGGGAAAATTAGGCTTGGTCTGTATAGACAAAGATGAAGTAGAAAGTTGAGGTAATTATATCATATACTTCAGGCCAGTCTCATGCTGCCAAAGAAGGGGGAAAAGAGCACATTTCTTTGATTTATCCAGACTGACTGAGCACATTTAATAAATTAATTGGGTAAGTGCTCGACTATCCATTTCAATTTGTCTGAGTAAATACCTGTCCCGGAGGCCCTCCGCTCTTCTAAGCCATCACAGTGATATTTACTAAATGGTACACTGTGGTAAAAGATCCTAAATGCCACCTAGGGGGTCGGAAACAGTAAAGGCACTAACCCCAGAGCCATATTTATCAATGGGAAGCCGAAATAAAAAAAGAAAGAAGCTGGTTTTTAAACAAGAGTTTTCAAATAGAAAAACCAGTATTTTTTAAACAGCAAGCACACCTGACACATCCAAGTAGATTATTACCTTTAAAAACTCATTAAATATTGCACAATCTCAAGAACACATCCATTGTATAAATTAAGCCATCTGTCTCCTGGAGGACTTGATTTTTATAATAAAATTACACTGGTATCCGTTCTATAAAGTTTAGAGTATTATGGCAACAATCTCAATTGCTTTTCATAATAACTTTGAGGGAGTGGTTAATAAAATGACCATTTCACAGATGAGGATTTCAATAAAACAGCTGAGTGAGTTTGCAACTCTCCCCAAACTATTAATTACTGGATCAGAACTAGTACCCATTTGAATTCTAGCCCAGAGGTCTTTAACCATGTCATGGGTCATATAAAAATTGTATTAATATATCAAATATTTAACCTGGAAATAGTAATATTGTGAAAGCATAAAAAGAGGTGAAATGTGAACATTATCACAAACCAAAGCACATAAAGGTAAATGAAATATTATACAGCTGTGAAAACGTATGAGCTTTTGCAAACATAGAAAAGTCTTACAAAGGTGAAAACATTTTTTATAGTGCAATGTGATACCATGTATATAAAGTTTTAAAACATATAAAGTAATATTAAGAATGTATTAAACATTTTAAAATGTATGAAAATGAATCACTTCAAGTTTAAGGTACTTAAGAGCTCTCATGGAGAGAAAAGTGAGAAAGGGTTATGGGGCAAACACTGGGAAATGTAGCTTTTTTGGTTTAATTTCCTAAACTGAATAGTGGTTATATGGATGTTCATCATTACACTTAATTATATGTTTATATCATTTTCTATATCTGAAATAGTGCATAATAAAATTTTAATAATGGAGGCTACAGAAAATGAATAAATTTAGAAGTTTAGTTTCTACAGCTCAAAGCAATATTATATCATTTGCTCATTTTAAAAATCAAGACTTTCTTGATTTTTCTTTCTTTATGCACATACAAGTCTCCCAGGTCTAAAGCAATATTTCTTCTGAGAAATCAAAATGAAATTAAGAGGAAAAACTGGAGGCCCCATGTCTATTCTTTTGAACTTAAAAGAGCAAAATTACAAAGAAATATGAAAAAGCCATAACTGCTTTCTCGTTTGTGGCAGACTTCCGCTATGGGTTTGATTCTGCTTTGTTTGTAGAGTAACTCTCTTATGCTCCTTCCCAAGGCAGGTCCATATTTGCATGTCCATTTTAGGTCACTTTCTTCTCTTCTGACTTTAATCCTGCCCTTAGAGATCTGAAGTCAAACCACGAACACTTATTAACCCTTCTTCATCTTATTCCTGCCCAAATCCTAGAACCACAGAAACTCAGAAAAGGAAATGAAATCAAGGGAAATTGACCATCTGCATTCTGTCTGAATACTCTGCACTCGATACACAATGTGGTCGGCAGACCAGTATCATCAGCATCCTCGACACCATCTGAGAGTTTGCTGGAAATGCAGAATCCTGGGTTCTATCTGAAATCTACTAAACCAGAATGGGCATCCTAGTGAGATCTGCCAGTGTTTAATATGCCCATTCAAGTTTGGAAGAACTGGTCTATAATATCCCCAAGAAGCAACCATGGACTGCCTATAAGGGACATAGGTAAGAATTCCCTGCTCTTGATTTAGCCTATTTCATATTCAACAACTATGATTAGAAAAAGCAACCTTCCCTTCCTGGTGAAAAAACATTTATTGAGTGCCTATATGTCAGGCAACTTTCCAGGTTCTAAGAATGGGGTGAAAAAGGTCCCTGCCTTCATGGAACTTACATTTTGGGGGAGACTTTTTTATGATTCATAGTTCCTACCCTTTCCCTCTTGTCCAGTCCCAGGCTCTATCCAATCCTACCATGTAACAGCAGAAAGAACAGAAATGAAATTCAGAAACAAGTGCTCCATGTTTTATGGGTTGGACTCATCCCTCACCAGCTGTGTGACCATGGGCAATTAAGCTAACTCCTTTAAACCTAAGTTTTTAACATGTAAAATAAAGAGAATGTCATCTTTCCCATAGGGTTGTTCTATCAATTTATTTAGACAATGTATGTAAAGCCGGTGGCTCAGGACAGCCAGCCAACAAATGGGCCGGCACCATTGTTAACAAGGGAGGAGGTTCCATCAAAGGCTGCAAACCCATCTGTCTGCTTTGTTTTTCTCTTCTGCCACCCTCATAGAGTAGACGTGGGTTATTCGTAACCTGCTTGATTCAATGCTTTTGGTCATCTCCTCTCGTGTGGAATGGGCTGTGTCTTCCACACAGGGTTTGTCTGCATTTGTACCTGCCTGAGAAGTCAGGGAAACACGGGACGAAACACATGCTGGGCTTGACCTTCAAAGAATAAATCTGATAGTAAATCACAAGTGGGTGGGTTGAATTTTTAAGCTGCAAATGGCTTGCCAGTTACTCAATGGTTTAATACTTGCAGGGGAGGAGGGAGGGGAGAACTCCTCTAAATGCAAAGCAGGAAAAACATAGTTAATTTCACATACTTTTTGAATGGAAAACTCTCATGACAAAGGGTACTTGTGGCTTTGTTACCTACAAAGAACAGTTTGTACCAAGGAAAAAGGATTTCAGCTCCAGAGTCTAGAATGTTTACGGCCTGATGAAGCATGTCTGACGGCTTCATTTGAAAATTCTGTTTTCCTGTTTAGCTGATGAATAATAAAGGTACGATGGCTATGTGGGAAATTGTAAAGCTAAATAAAAATACAGAGAAGCACTTCTTCTTGCCCATTTAATAGCTGGAAAGATTTAGAGATCATGAAGTATGTGGGAAAATACCGTATTTCAGTAAGTGTCTAAGATCTAAAAGCTATCATCTCGAAGTTTTGACTGAAGATGCAAAATGGAAAACATTTCTTCTATTATGCATAAGTGTTTCTTACTTCTTTTAGCTCAGTCTTTGTCATATAGACAAAATCTCTATATTATTTCACTATGTGAAGGGGTAAAAGCTACTCTCTTTTACGTATGTTTCTGCTAGACCGAAAGTATAAGTGCATTTGTTTGAGCAAACTCTTAGAGCAAAGATATACTTGAGATACTCTGAAGAAGGTTAATTTTCTTTTAACAAAGCAATATCATTATTTCTCTCCTTCTTATCACTATTCATCATTAAATGGAACTCATCCCCAGGTGATATAAAATTTCTTAATATCTTATTAAACAATGGTTGTTTTTCCTCTTGCTGAAAATATGTGAATTCAAAAGGGTTGTGTCTTGGTTTAAACTCTGCAATGTGTAAGCAATCTCTGGGCCTGGGCATCGAAATATTATTTTATCCTGAGGAAAGAATGTACTTAAGTTCCTAATACAAACTATTCATATTTGGGCCCGATTTCGGAATATTTCTAATATGATCTTCTGTATAAGAAATATTCACGAAAACTGAAGGCACACACGTATACTCCTTAGACAAAGAACGTGTCCAATAAATCTACAAATTAGACTTAATTCCTTTGCAGTAAATTGTAATCCAGCTGTTCAGAGTTCATGAACATCATGCATGGTGGTAAGACTGTGACGGGTAAGTGGCACACTCGGGTCATAAATTTGGGAAGCTTTCAGAGGTAGACACTTTTAGTTTTGCACATTCACAATCCTTTGTAAAAGTTACAGATGTCTGTCTACCTTATGAAGGAATTTTGAAGCTCCTGAGGACTCTAAAATCTCAGAGTGAAATCTTTTTGAAATATGGAAATTGTTTAAAACTTCATAAAAGTAACATTTGCATACCCCAATTCCATTCCAAAAGGCTTAATGCAGTGATCTGGAGTAAAAGAAGACAGCTCTGGGGCTCTTGGGGCTACGTACACCAGCATTTCAATCATGTAACATTTACACTGTGCTCTAGAATCACACTAACATTGTAGCTTTAGCTCAGTGGCAAATGTCACAAGATTAAGCACCTCTGCATAACCATCATCCCGTAACACTCCTGAATGATCTTGTAAGTGCACTGTCTGCCTTCAGTGTTCAAACGCTCATTCTCCATGAATTAGGATTTGCTTTCAGGATCCACAAGTAAGAAATGGTTTATTATTCATATTTCACAGCTCCGATTCTCAGGCAATGAGCTCTCATCCCCCTTAACTGCTTGGTGTGGAGCTTACATGTGAATTTGTTTCTAGGCCAATAACTTGAGGTTGGGGGTCTGGAAGAAGTCCTGGGCCACTTACTCTGATCGCTGACCTGAGGCAGCATGGATTGGATCAGTCCACTTCTAAGTCTCAGTTACATCCTCTACACAACAGGAAGCTGGTATCGACCTCATTGGAGAGAGGCTAGGGAGGTAAAGTGAGCA